GTGCTCTTTCGAATCACATTCACAACAGAAGAATGTAATAATCCCTCAGCCCTCGTTTTGCCTTTGTGTTATCTGCAGGGTGGACGGACAACATCGCTTTATCAGAGTCCTTTCTCTTAAAAATCCTCCACATATGATTCACCACAAGGTCTCCATTCAGATCCAATTGCACACTGAATTATGTTCTGATTTATGTTGTTATTTTTGAATAATCTCCAGGCCTTGTTGTGCACAGCGACTCTCATGCAGGAGATCGTCTGTTAATGAAGACATTAAACTTATTCTGTGCATGTGTGAACTTAAGTGTGTGTGTGTGTGTGTGTCTCGGCGGCTCATGTGGGCATGCTGTATCATTAAGATAAATGACATTACGCGTCCCCTGCCAAAACACACAGACACACACACACACACACACACACAGAGACACAGACACACAGCACCAAACCCGTCATGGCGCTTAAGGTTGTGTTTTAGCAAAAGGACCATTTTCTGTTTACCCCTCTGGCTCTCTTTGTCTCGTTCTCTTTTTATCTCTCCCTCCATCTCTATCTCTCTCTTTCAGCACAAAATGCCAAATTGCTCCATTTCTCACTCGCCTCCCCTCCTCCCCAGCTCATCCACTCATCTGGTTATTAACTCCAAACACATTAAACCAACAGTGGTGCCGCGATATTCCCCAGACTGTCCTCGTCGGAGTAAAAAGCCTGAATGCACACACCTGGGTCAAACTGCGAAATGGATTCCGCATGACGCACAATGGCGACACGATTTAATGCCTCAGGGCCAGAAACAACTAATCTGGGATATTATAAAGAAAGAAAAGCTGACTGGAGTTTTGCCTTCTCACTAACCTGAGATCATTAAAATTATTTGCAATATGGATTTTTGGAGGCTGATGCATTTGGAGTGAGGATCTCCCTTCAGACTCGTGTTTGCTCGAGGAGTCGTATCCTTGTCAGGCTGAAGAAGCCTCTCAAACAGCACTTGCGCTAGAGGATGACAATAATAAAACAGAAGGATTACGCTGATCCACAGATATCCACTTTGCGGTTTGACTTGCGGAACTGTGCTCCAGCCGTAGCTCTGAGCGAGCAATAAGTCTTTGGGTTTTTATCTTCCACGTCCTGTAATTAATCAGTAATTTATTCATAGCTGTCCGAGTCCAATGTCTGCCCAAGTCTGATTGCCATTTTAGAACAATATTTTAGAGCAAAGCGGACATGCTGCTTCAATCGAATGAAAAGAAAACAGGTAGCTTTGAGTCAGAGACTGATGTGGACATGTAGTTCATGTACATGTAGGTACAGTATGCAAGTCAACCCGATGACCATTCATTCCCATGGGAACCTCTGTGATCTACGATGTGTTTGCACATCGTAGATCACATTGTTTTACTCCCGATTTTGCCTTGAGTAGACTTAAGTTAACGCTTATGTTTCATCTTTATTTAGGTAGATGAATCTGGAGTTTCGCCTACATCCTCTAACGTTTAACTCCTGTTTGCAGAATAATGCTTCAGCTCATAAACCTCGTCTTTACCCGCTTGGTACTGCACATGTGCAGATCTCAACAGAGATGAGAAGGAGTCAAGATGGCTGACTCCTTAGCTACTTCCTCGAAAAAAAACCAACGTGTTTAATTCATTTTTACCAGTTGCCTGATCGATCAAGTTGAATTAATAGATTTACTCTGAGAACATAAACAGTTCTTCTTACTCACAAATCACGGAAAGACTAAATCTCGACCTACAAAGTTGGACAAGGCTCGGTCTCCATAAATGCATGAGTTGAACGTCTCCTTTAGAATCCTGCGCTTGCTTAATTCCCGCCGTGATTGAATGTTTACCATGTTGTGCTGTTTTTCGTCTTTTCGTTGTCGACGCTCTTTTCTGGACCAGCTAATGAGGATCCAAACAAAACACCCAAACACATAAACAGAGAAGTCGTAAAGCCTCGTAGCTGCGGCCGAGGAAACTTTTCTCCTCTTCGTCTCAGTGGGACTAACAAGCTCATTTGAAGCAAAACTGCTGTTTCACACAAAAAAGAAGAGGGAAAGTGCCTCTGGGTCGCCACCGGGGCATCAGAGCGGGCTCATTTGCCCCCAAAATGGCCGAGCTGCTTTTCAAACAACACCGGCGCTAATTTAAAATAAACACGCCGAGGGAAGAGAGGGGCTTGCAGGCAGCACAGCGAGAACAAAATAAAACCGAGGCGTACGGAGGGAGATTGTCATAGGAGAACAAAAATAAAAGGGATGGTAGGTGGCTGTGTGTGTTTGATCCCCGGTAGAAGTGGCGGTGAGTGATGCTCTTGACTCATCAGCCACGAAAAACAACTCATTTCAAGGGTAGTGAAGACGGAGCAGGAGATTTGAGGGAGCTGTAGGAAAAGGAGGAGGAACTTTGGCCTTGTGTTGTTTTTTCTCTTCCTCCTCAGACGAGGAGACTGGTGGGAAGAGGAGTCATCTCAAGGCTAAAAGACTCACAACACACAAAGCGCATGACAAGTGTGTTGGTGTGCTAAAAAAGAAAAGAAAAAAAGAGTTGATTTGGGTCTTGGCAGAACGCTGTCTCCAGGCTTTCATAAGCTCACGTGACTCAGTCAGAACGAGAGAGAGAGAGAGAGAGAGAGAGAGAGAGAGAGGGAGAGAGAGAGTATAAACAGAAGCAGACTGTGTGTGTAGGTGCAGAAAGGTTAACGACGCCACAGCTTTTAGCCACTGAAAATTAAATTAAATTTCAGAACTCGACAGCATGTCATGATCTAGAATTCCTGTCGCCTCGTCTGCCTCTCCGGCCTTCCCCGATAAAGCATTCCGTCTGTAACGCATTATAAAGATACTTAGAATGCATTATAATCTGTTTATAACAATGTTTAATCATCTTCAGTCTTATTAGACATTAGATCAGCTAATCATAACCAGGTGGCAACCTACGGTCCTGAACAGTGAAGCCAAAGCTTCATGTGTTAAACCTGCATTCTCTCTAGTGTCCACC